TATACATAAACACAGCAGTCTTATATCCCACTAAATCAAAAAATTTTAACAATTTAGACTGTATGAAAGCTACATTGGTGTGATCCCTATACCCCATCTTATGCACAATTCTTATCGCTCTTTTTTGTAATATATACAATGGTTGAAGTGAGCTTTTGTATGTATTTCCCCAGTTTTCAACACCATACTCTAAGTATGGTAAAATCAATGAAGAATACAAAATACGTAGTGCTTTCCTGTCCAAAATATATTCAATTCATGGGTAAGGGACAGAAGTGAGATCACTGACCTTTGACCACCAAAATCTAATCAGTTCATCTTTGCAATCTGACTGGACACTTGTACCAAATTTGAAAAAATTCCCTCAAGGTGTTCATGACATATTGCGTTCGCAAGAACTGTACGGACGTACAATCCGAAAACGAAATGCCTTGGACCACCACTATTTCTGGAGGCATGATTAAAGCACAGAGGGTTTAGTTCACTTTTTTGAAGGCATGTTGTGTGCTGTGCAACAAAAATGACTGGGTCTGGTCTTCAGTCATTGGAGGAAATCTGTAAAGCAAGATTACAAAATAAAGGGCCTCAATTTTTAAAGGATCCCTCTCATCCAGCTCGTGCCCTTTTTAACTTTCTCCCCTCTCACAAGAGGCTTAGAAGTATTAAAACACCAACACCAGATTTCAGAGTACCACATATCCAGAAGCTGTCAGGTTGTTGCTGACGGTTGACCCTGCACTGCTGGTTACTTGTTAGGTTCTAATGGAAGGTCATCTGGAGATGAAGTTTTATTATGTATTTTTTTTATCCCTGGGGGAATAGTTTTATTGTTTTTTTATTATTATATTAATTGTTTTGAGATTATTTTTAAGAATTTAAATTCTTTCCATTCTTATGGTTTGTGGCCTGGCTTCCTTTTTGGTGCTTTTATTTTGGTTAGTTTCCTGTCCTGTATCACCTCACGTTCCCCAGCCTTACTCCAGTCACAATCACCATTCATTGTCTTCACCTGCTGCTCGTTACCTCCTGGTTTCCTGTCTATACATCCCCCTCCCTTCCCTCAGACTTGTTGCTGGCTTGTCTGATCTTCATGCCTCGCTTGTTCCCGTCTCCTGTGCTCCCCCCTTGACCTCCACACCCGGTTGGTTCCTTTTGTCTTTGCTTTCTGTTTCTGGATACTTGAGTTTGACGTTCTGCTGCCTCGGTTTTGGATTCTGTATGTTTGCCATTCTGAGTTCTGAGTTCTCCCTGACCATTCTATTAATCTTTAGTTCTGTCCTGTCGGGTAGAGCACCCAGTACTTTGGTTTCTTATTTTTGAATAGAGACAAACTATAAGAACTAGAGATTGTGTCTGTATTTTGGGTCCTTCCCTGCCCGAAACTTAACAGAAGGAGTGCGTTATTGTTGTTATTGTGGTGTTTTGAGCCCACAAAGTCAAATTGCATTCAACAGTGTTGGCAATAAAGTATTGAGAAGACACCATTTCAAACAGTTCTCCTTAACTGCTAATTAATGAGACTAAAGGTACATTCACTTAAACTTCTTGGAACAGTTTCATCAAGCTGGGAGCTTTTAAAAGTGAAAACATTTCTTTCAGTACAAGTGTGGTGCTGTTGCCTACAGTAGAAGCAAAAATATATCTAGATAACTACACGAAACAACCCAAAAACACAAGGTTGGAAATGTGCACGAAGATGAATGTTGGATCTGAAAGCCAGCACATGAGCAAAGCTGCAGTAAAGACTGATGATGCTCACTCAGTTATTTCTTCAAATGCTCTTGCACTGGCATAAACACCACAGAAAGTAAATAAGTTCATGATTCTTGCCTGAAGTTGTTGCCAAAATCCCTAACCTCACAAGATGACATGTTTCCAAAACTCTGTCCAGGAAACTAGCACATTGCAACTCTGTGACTTGTTTACAAGACCTGCCTTGCTTATATTATTCATCTTATGAGTAAACGAGTATATTGAACCACATATGAAACTAAATAGGACTGGGTCCCAAAAAGTAGCGTACAGTATGGTTTCATCACATAAAGGTGAAAAAAGCTTAATATATATTTTTGTGAAGCTCATATTTAGCCTCATGAATCTTCACTTTGAAATCTGAGCATATAAAAGTCCTGGTGTTGCCACTTAGGTCAAGAATGTGATATTTGATACAGGACACATGACACTGTGCTACTCTCCCTTTGTTCACCGACTCTGGGAAGACATAAAGGGCTCATTTCCAGTCATGAAACACCCTCTGTGCCTCTGCTTTCAGCATCTGGTCCTCAATAAGAACGGCACTGTGGAGGGTAGGGCCCAGACCAGACAAATCAATGTCTGCTGCGACTGTCATCAGTTGTTGAGGTGTACTGTGTCCAGACAGTGAGTAAAGCCTGCCTTTGAGTGACAGCTCATTCAAAGCAAAACAGACAAGGTGACAGATGGTATCAAAGCATTTCCACAGAAACAAAGCTGGATTAGGTTTTCTGAAATGTTTGAGTAAATAATTAGCCTCCCATTTTATAATAAACAAAAAACAATGAATCAGATATTAACTGTAACAGGCCAGGACCAACTTCCCTCTGAGAATGCAGAGAAATGGCGGTACGGTACGCATCAGAAAGGCATGCATGTGTGTGCAAGGGTGTGTCTTTGTGCATGTGTGCAGCTCTGGCACTTGCTGAGGCACATACACACAAATGTGCACTCACACCCAGATGGCAGTGGAATTTAGCTGAGGCTTTGATATGCAGATTGGGTGCTGGCTTGTCATTTCTGCTGACTGCAACAGTGCGTTATCGTTCCTTCAGCACAACATTAGAGCTGATAACATTTACCTGAAGGGGGCAGTTGACTGATAATCTCGTCAAGACATTTCTGCTCTTGGAGGGCCTGAGCGAGCAGTTGTATGGGACTTGCCATAACCGTATCACTGCAGAGTGGTGCTTGTGGGTGTGCGCAGACATGAGTACAAACACACGCACAGATCAGCACAAAAAGACAAAGAAATACGACTGCTTTTTGTCTCCTAGGCAACTACAGCATCAATACTGTGACAGTTTAGAGCGCCACACCTCCAAAGTAAGAGGTGGCAATGTGACTGCTGCACTCGCCCAGACACTTAAACACACCGAGATCTCAACTGCAGCAACAGCAGTACAGTGAGAAAGCTGTGAGAAAAATGGTTAAGCTTTTAAAAGGTGCAGAAACAGATGAAGAAGAAATGGAAGAAGAGGGCTGGATGTTACAGTAACAGCAAACTGAGGTGTCAAATGTAATGATGCTAATCAACTCCACTGATTAAAACTAACACTATGTAATATATTAGGAGGGAAAACATCACTGGTGTGCTACGTAAATCATGATGGCTGATTATTGTAGAAGGCAGGATGCCAACAGTATATTAAGAGATTATTGTTGTGGGATGCTTGCTCATGTGCAGCCCCCCCCCACACACATCCTCACTAGACCATAGATTAGTTGCATAAGCTTCTGTTACTGAGTGCTCATAACATGTTTTTCTATAGTGCGGTGGGCCATAGGTCTACAGTGCTTATTGGCCATTACCATGACGGCTTCAGTGCCATATTAAGAGATAACGATCAGATTGTGCCATTTTACCCTTTATTTTTAATTACAGAATAGGCCCTATTTCATTCTTGTGTCTGCTTGGTAAATAGGTTCTCAACCACTTTAATATGAGCAAATCAATGCCATTTAAAGCAGGAGCTTGTGGGGAGTTATTTTTGTCCTGTTGCAGACTGAGAAATATGTTTGTCTTACAGAACAGAGGAGTTCGTTTTGAAGTTTCTAGGAGCCTCTAATGTGGGTAAAATGCCTTTCCATGTGAGTCATTCTTTTTACCATTATACACTTGAATGCATTCCACTGTTTATTTGACTGGATCTTTGGGCCTTTATAGTAAGCAACCATCTATTAAAACCAGGTTACTGAATAAGTCAGTTGTATGCCTTTTATTAAAATGAAAGGACTCCATTTGATTGTCTAACACCTCGCTGAACAATGACATGTACTGTATGTTCAGCTACTGCAAACTCCATCTATAGATTGCAGTTCATGTCTGTGATAGGTGGTTTATGCTTGCATAAGTATTTATTTTAAAATGAGCACTCAACACACTTCTTTCTTTTTAGCTGTTCCTCCAGCAATTTTGCCATAAGCACATTAATTTCTGCTGCACCACAAACAATCACAACACAGGGGAACCAGTCAAAACATTAAGCAGAGAACAGTGCAGCGTCTTAAGTGCTGTTAAATCACACATCACACAGTGGCTTTAATTTTAAATTAATTATTCAGCTGTTTTTTTTTTTCTACCAAACGGAACCGCTGGGAATAAGGAAAAGAATAGAACAGATATTTCCTGAGATCAGCCAGTGCATTTACTAACAATCATAATATTCTGCTATTATTCATGAAACCCAAGTGTTGTGTTAACACGGGGCATGCACACTGTGTTGCATTTACAGCCCAGGTAGACTAATTTTCTGATTATAAGAAGCTTCAAAGTGATGGCTAGAAAATGTCTACAATCGCTGAGATATGAAGGTATAGAAGTTCATGTGTTCTGTTTTATTTCATTATAATCTGAACATTATGATTATAATTTACACACGTATGAAAAGTGCTTCTATCATATATTCCCTTTAACTGAAGTCAAAGCCTGTAATGCATCCATTTTCACTCACTGATGTGCTACCTATTGCATGCTGCAAGTGTATAGTTTAATTACTATATGTTCTGTATATATCCAATTATTCCTGTGACAGTGTGTAAATGCTTTATGCCATGGTTCAGTGCAGCTGCCGAAGTGTGTGTTGTACCATTTCCAGATACAGTATGTGAGCCAGCAGTGTGAGAGCTAATGTGTTACTTACTACTCTGGGGAGTAGTGAATAAGATGTAATTAAACTAGTACTTTAACTACATTTTGCAGCAGCTTGCTGGTAGTTCAACTACATCCATACGCGCATAGTGATTCAAGTATTTAAATGACCATTCATTTGCCATGTTTGCATAGTTACTACCTAATGAAACTACAAATAATTTGAGGCTGTAAAAGGAGAAATGTTTTTTTTTATTATTATTATTTTACCATGCTGCATGTGAGCAGCTCTTCAGTGTTAGTAAGGTAATTTTCAGTGCCAAACAGAACTGCCTGTTGCATGGGGGGGGAGCACAGGTCCATTATTTTAGATCAGTGTTGAAGCTGTTCATACATCTACAAAGTTAAAGCTGAAGACTGTTTTAGTTTTAAGACTGATAACTCAGCTGTTGTATAACTGATGAGTAAGACAACAGGACCATTTTTAGACCAGTGTTCAAGTCAGTCAAACGATGCCAAAGGTACAAGTTGATATTTTTTGTCCTTGTGAAAGCCCCAGGTTGTTTTATTTAGGACAGGTTAAGGTCTCGGGTAATAAACTCAAGTGAGTAAATTATATTTTATTATTTTGTATTACAGTACATTTTCAATCTGATCTTTTTTTTTTTTTACAAAGAAGTTTGAACTACTTTTTCTAAGTAGCTTTAATTAACTTAATTAGATTTCTCCCTATAGCTTTGCTGTACATTATGTGTGAAATGGCTTGCAAAGCTATGCTTTCAGTAGCTTCCCCAACTCTGTGCTGTACTGCTATGAATTTCTTCTATTTCTAAACACAGCTGCACTCATCTGTGCTCTGACTGATTTGCCCTGAGGCAGTTTACCCCCTTATTTCCTGACTCAAAGTCAAAGCACAGGCATAGAAGACCTTGTGAATACAATATCACATACATGCTGACAAATATGAGGGGCAAAATCAGGGGTTAGTCTGCAAAGACATTAGTTTGTTTGACATCCCTTTTGTTTGCTAACATAGTGGAACAACCGCTGAATTTTTTTAGTTTTTTTTTCTTCCAGGGTTTGATGACAAATCTGGACAGCTTTAAGAACAGATTATAAGTATTTTTGCTGACACACGTCCACCCTGCCTTCAGACAAAGCTCCCTCAAGCTTATATTTTCACCTCCCACGGCTGATGCACCTTGATGATACAACAACAACTCGTGCATGCAGCTGAATTCCCACTAATATTTCACATTTAACACAGACATTTCCTCCGGGCTGTTTGCACTGCCGTCAATATGTTATTGACACAAACAAGGTGACATTATGAGACTCCCATTTTTTTGTCTCCCAGACGTGTCAATCAAAAATTACTCACGGACCCGACGCAGCAGCTATATAGATCGCTCAGTGGGGAGGGGCAGCAGAAAGAGCAGATACTCACACTGATTTGAGTGTGACTGAGCCAACAGTTGTCTGATTGACAAGCGATGCAATTAAGTGGAAGCAAGAAGCAACGGAAGACCATCATTATATCAATCATCTTTCCTTCCCCCGCCTTCCTTTGTCGATCATCTGTGCTCATCATCTAATGGGCTTTGTGTGCTCTGAGACTAATTTCACTGTAAACATTACAATCATGCCTCCCCAGTTTACATCAGCACCAAGTCGTGATGACAAAGACCAAAAGAGGGAAATGCAGGAGAGGTTTGTCTTCACTACCCTAACAACACTCAGGTTCAAAGTAATGTAAAGTAAAACTCTACAGCTGAGACTAAACACATCATACAGCAGCTCTATTTCTATAACACAAATGCACTTGTAACAAAGATTCCTAGTGGCCATTTAGATATTACATGCAAACCTTTTTGTGCACTAAAAGGTACATAGACATTTCTGACAGCAAAGGGCACATTATATGTATTAGTATTATTTGAACTTGAAGGTAAGCTTTTGAAGGTACAAAATGTTTTGTTGCTGGAGTGCTCCTCCCAGAGGGACTGTACCTATTCAAAGACTACATTTTTTCTGAAGCACTAGAGTGCCACAATGGCCTATTGGTCCAGTTTTTCATAGCTGCTGGTCATAACCACTGATCCTTTTGACAACCTAGCATTAAGTTAGCCAGTGTGAGTTTTGACTGAGCAGCACTTACAGTATTGTTGAAAGGAAAAAGGAAAAAAGATATCTGTGCACTTAAATTGATATTAAGCTTCATAAGTGGACTTTGTTTGCCCAGAGATTCACCTGTCAACACGCATAGTGGTCCCCCTGTAAAAGAACTAAAGGAAAAACATCACCATTTACTGAATGGTGTTCATCAAGGTTTTATTCTAGGCCCTCGTCCATTTAGCCTTTATCTTCTTATCCGTATGGATGCAGACATGGACATTTTTGTACATGCTAACTGTAAATAACCATCTGATCTTTACAGTAGCTATGAAGAAAACAGATTGGTTGACTTGCTCATGGTTGAATGCATCTAAAAATATTAGTATGTTAGTAATATTAATGGTATTTATGACACCATTCAGACCACTGCAGTCACACAATTTAAACACACATCAAGGTCCTTCTGTGTGGCTCAACCTGTGTCCCCTGACCCTGCATCATGCTATATTTTTGAGGACCGTGTTAAGTGTATAGTTGTTTTGACTTGTTGTGTAAGAACAAGTGCAAAAACTATTGTAATACCACAATTCATGGGTAGTTCAGTCCTGGCCACAGGCAGAACACAATGCAGAGGATGGCAAAGATGATAATTGAGCTTAGTCATCAAACTGAGTGTTATTCAGATTTCAGTGCAGTCGCTGTGACAGAGTAGCCTACAACTATGATTTTCATCTGTCTACTTATGCAACACAGGGCTGGGCATCAGCTGGGAGTTAGTCATCCTGTGAAGCCTCTCTGATCTCACAAGGCTTGAGTTAGATTAGACTAGTTAAAAATGGATTTACTACATGTCTGGAAAAGCAGACTGCAGACAGCAGTTCAATGGGCTGATTCATCTGTCCATTACATCACAGTGGACAGGTAATGTAGGCCATTTTATGGTGTCTCAATACAGCAGAAGTTGATTAAATCTCTGTCACATAAACTGTGAGATCATGCTAAGGTGTGTGTTGCTTGCCAGACACATAAAACAGAACCACAAAGCTACAAGCCACCACAAAATACAGACCTTAATATCTGATCATTTTTCTCTCTGTGAAGAGAAAAGAAAGAAGAGAGAATGCCTGAAGAATCAATACAGCAAGCCTGTTAATAGATTTCTGCATCTGTGCTGTTTGGTAAAGAACAAATAGCAGATGGAGTTGCAGAGATGAAGGTTCGACGACGGAGAATACTAAGAATGTGAAAGAGACAGAAGAGCCAATAACCAGATAGATCAGAGCAGAAAGAGCGCAGGTTTCCACAGATATGAATGGTTGGAGGGTCGATCGTTACCCAGATACCAAATGCATTCCCGCCTGCCTTTGCTGCCTGATTGCCTGGCACACATTGCAATTTGCATTAGACTTGAAAAGAACCGAGCAGAAGAGCACAGCTGTAGAAGTTTTTGATCTCCCAACCTCTGTCTCTTTGATGCACCATGTGGAAACACACCAGTAGATTTGGAAACAAGGAGATGATGTTAGGTGTTAAGTGGGTGAGTGTGTGTGCAATTGGGAACTGATTTATATTGTAAAAATGACCATGTCACTCTGTCAAGACCTTGATTCCAGTCCAAATGAGCACACAGCCTGCATGCCAGCCTGCATGGATTGCCCTATGTTGTTAAGTTAAATGCATTCAAGCAAGAGGGAATGAAAATGCCCCCACCCCCTTCCCCCCTTTTGCTCTTGCTGTTTTTAGGATTATCAAGCATCACGGCACCTCTGACAACCACAACTGTCAAGCAACAGATTTACATCCGGCTTTTCTGGGAAAATGCCATTTCACATTTCCGTCTGGGTTCAAATTCGAGGCATTGCATCAAGATAATCTGTGGATTTTGACTGTGTGTGTACTGACAACACTCTCTGCCCGCATCGCCTCATCTGTATCTCTTCCTAACCCAACCCCCACCCCTGCATCTTCTCCGGTCCTTGCCCCTCTCACCTCTCCTCCCTCCTCTCTTGCACTCTGGACCTCTCCTCTCTCCCATCTCATCCCTCATCTCTCCTCTTCCCGATCTGTCAGGATGATTTCAGGCTTGTTGCGTCTGGTCTGACTTTGTGTGGCACGACTGAAGCAGTAATTACAACAGTCTCTGAACAGACTTTCCTCCCACAAAAGACCTCTCTACCTATCATCCACAGGCTTAATTTCGCTCTCCATACTGATGTTCAGGGACCAGATGACAGCCTGTGTAGAAAACTATTAACCCACAATTAAATTACAATCACTATAACAAAGGATGGATGACATTTAAATCCACCAATCCAGAAGGGATTAGGAGCAAAGAGCACTTCTGTTGGGATGTGTTATCTTCTAAATATGTCAGTGTGGACAAAGGAAATTGGAATTAATCAAATATTTCACAGTATCTTCCTGTGGGGCAGTTTTTACCACTGGGTATACTAATCTCCTGTACAAGTTAAACCAAGATGTATTACAATGTGCGAAGAGGTCAGCTAAAGCAACAAGGAAAAGAACAACACTGCTTTTGCCGCTCTTTACCTTTTTATGTGAGACGTTAGTGATATGTGTTTGTTCCCTGGCTGGATGTTACATAGGGTTCAGAAGTAGATGTCTGGCACTGTCACCGTGGACACACTAAGGAAAAATGATGACAAAATATGTAGCCACTGAGTTGAGATGCTGCGGTCTTTAGCTACAGCTGGCTGCCAAATCAAAAATATATTAAATCCTACCCTAAGTGTTATTAAATTGTCACACCAGACTGTTTGACAGCACAAAGACAAAGTGGTACTTCTGGTCTTTGTCAGCTGCATTTTTGATTATTTCTTGAACCAGTATGTTTTGTGGGACTGTAGTCCACTGGATTATGAGCACTGCAAGCTGTAGCATCTGCTTCTTTTAGCAAGCATGCAAACCTCATGCTGACAGTGACATGTAGCTGACTAGAAAGCTTGACATTATTGAGACACAGAAAACTTATGACACGAATCAGTCATAAAATCAAACAGCCAGTGTTGCCCAAGGGCTGAGGACCTCTAACACGGCCACTAAAAGGATGTGATGTGTCACCTGAAAGCCCTGTGAGGTGAAACGCCAATTCAACTCTTGGCTCTGACACAGCAGAATGATGTCGGCCTTCAATCGAACATCAAGGTTGTGCTGAAATGAAAGCAATTTGATGTAGCCAAAAGGAGAATGAGAAAATGAGATTGATGTTGTGAGGAGAATAAGTAGGTGGTGGGACGCAAAAAGGAACTCGGTCAGAAAGCTGCATAGTTGGTGTTTTATGCTGAAACGGCACTCAAGCTTTAACACAATACTAAAGAGATTGCTTTTTCTTAAAAGAGTTGACCCGACACAGAACACCCAGCATGACAGAGCAGGAGATGTTTTAACCAAAGGAACCTTTGGCAACCAGGGACTTTTGTTTCTTTTTTTTTTTTTTTTACAAATACAACACATTAAATAAATTTTTACTGAAAAGCAAAATAACTTACTTCATGGGTTTGAACAGAGCCTGGCCGTAGTTATGGAAGGTCATGATGAGCTTGAGCTGAGTGCCTCCAGACTTCATTGCTGTTGGAGCCAAACAGACGACACTGCTATTAGTAATGTATGAACTGATATCAACTACACATGTTTTGCTGTTATGAGCATGAGCAGAAACTTTACTGCCAAGTATTTAAAAAAATACAAGGAATTTGACTCCAGCCCAATGGACCCCGATGTGCACAACAATAAAGCAACAATATACTGAAGAAAATGGGCTGTAATCATGTGACGTTATAGTCGTTTGTGCTCGAATACAAACTGACTCAAAAGAATTTACTTTTAGTTACACAAACACTGGCCAGTTTGATTAGCTAGTTCTTGGCTAGTGGTATTAGCTAGTCAGCCTAGAAGACCTTCAAAATTCAAAACAGCCATGCTACAGTTTGTTTAGTTATGCTAATTATTTGGACTGTTGACTAATGTCCCCTCGAGTGCCATAAATGACAGACAATTTCAGTTTACTATATGTATATGTATGCTGTAACTATGTCCAGCCCACTTAGATTTTTTTCTATTTTTCCTCCAAGTGGAGCTCTGCTCTGAAAAATATAATTAAATATATTATAATTATATAATAATATAACAGAATTAAAATGTACAAGAGCAAATTTCCGAAACCCAATGTGATACATTTGTTTGCTTTGGCTAACAAACAGTCCAACACGCAAAAATATAAAATTTAAAATGACATAAAACCTGCAAATCTTCACATCTGACCAGATGTAGACTGTCATCTTACAAAACGACAGTGCATGTTTGACATTTCTTGCTAATGAAGGACCTGAAAACTAATTGATATGTGGCTCCATCTGTTTCTAGAAAATGTCTTAAGTGTCCGAGCAGTTTCCACATTTCGGAAAAACTCTAGTCTCCATTTCAGCTGTTTACTGACAAACTTTCTCCCTCAGAAAAACATGAACTCTGGTAGCAAAAGCCAACCAACACACCAAGAACGAAAAGCATTCTAAGAATGACAAAAGGGGGAAAAAGACTAATATGCTTGCCAGGTTTCATAGTTAGTTGAATAACAAGCATAGACAATAAATTCTACATCTTAAATAACGAGAAGTGAGAGTTGACTAGGTTGCTATTGGCCATTATTAAATATATTACAAACTATCACTGCTTCTCATTTACAAATATATATCTACTGCATAAAAGACTAGCATTAATCAATATTCAAATTTTCTATTGATCAACTAATCAATTTAGCAACTAATCATGAGACATACATTAGCTATCTCTTGTGCAGCATCGGTAGAATGTCAAACATATAGCACACCAAACATAGAAAGAAGACACTGTACACACAATAAAATGGGAATAATAGATGTCTAATATTACAATATAATAATAAAATAATACATTTTGGGGACATTTAACAACACACCTGAAACATCAACTTCCTCTGCTATCTTAATTATCTGTATATGTGCATAAATGTCTCTTTGTCTGTGTGCATGTGTGCTTCTGAGAAAACTGACCACGCACAATCACAGTGTTTGTTTGAAGGGAAAGGGGTGAAGGACAGCCAGTGCTCGCCCGGTGCTCTCTGTTCCTTCGTTGTTTACTTTCTCTGTGTATTCTCTGGAGGGTCTATCTGTCTCTTTCTCTCATTGTCGCTTTACGTTTCTATTCATCCATGTCTCCTTCATGTTTTTTCCCTTTTTGAGCATGGTTCTGTGGTCTAAAGGCCCTCATGGGACTGGGCTCAGGGCTGGGGTGAGGACAATACAGGGCTAAAACTGAAATTTCCAACAGAGTGCAAAGCTGCCACTGTGCCTGTTATTTCTTCAACTGATCAATTGTAAACAGTGTATCAGTGGCCTTTTGCCAAAGGACACACTTCTCAATCAATGCTCTCATTTATTTTTACATATGGGAATCATAAGAACAAGCTAAATCTTTACAGAGAAAAAATTTACGATTGAAAAGGATCGATTTCCATCTGACCTCACCTGCTGCTGTGCGTGCTCACGTGATGGTTTGAAATATCTAACTATAATTGCTAGGAACGGATGCATGCAGAGAAACCGTATAAAGTGACCAAGAAAATAGTTTGTTTCAACCTTCATTCGCAGTAGACAAACCATATTTGTCAAGACTTCATGGTGTGAAAATGTTTACTTTTGACTCTTTTCTGGACTGCACAGTGCAGCCATCAACGTTACAGGCTTTTCCTCTCATCTACAATAACATTTATCATATCTGCTGATGTTGCACAGTGTGTCTTTATTGATGAAAAGAGGTTATAGTGTAGAATACATCCATGCGCTCCTATCCTTAAGTTTAGATAATAACCGGCTGCTGTTGGCTTCGACTGGTATTCTGCCCCAGGCCTGTGTTAAGGCTCTGTAATTACTGAGCCACCATGTATTTAGCTGGCTAGAGAGTGGCCTCCTCTCCACCCAGTTGGAGAGATGGAACACAAGAGGGACAAAAAGGCAGAAAACAGACAAAAATCTTTTCTTCTAGTAGTTACCAGGCAGGATCACTGGTTTCATAAATAGTTAATCCTACTCCCAGATACGCATTTAATCTTTGCTACAGGCCAGTTACAGTTTTGTCATTGGCAGATAAACCTGAAATGTGCAATCACTTTTTACAGCAGGTGTAAGATGGGCGACCTTGAGTCGACAAGCACTTTTGGAATGTGGGAGATGGACAGTGCCAAAATAGAAAGTATGTCCCCCCTATTGAAAAAAACTACCCCAAGATGGATTATCACCTTTGTCAGGACTGCAGCAAAGGCTTTGCAAGTTTCTGTAGAAACCTTAATTTATTGTGCGCTCCAATAAAGTTCCACAGCGTTTGATTTGAAACAAACTGCAGTGTGCAAGTACCTGGGTGATTTGCATCGAGACCAGGTGTTCTCTCAGGCCTGGTGCATTGTCGTGTTTTATTAGTCCTTCAACCTTGTAAGGCAGGAGAGTGCAGGCAGATCACATGCTACGCTGTCGCATGAGGGCGTGAGGCAGATTTCCATCATACTTTTAAAAATTCTTGTTTACGTGTACAAAATACATTGTAAACATTCATTAAATGAACATTTAATAGACTTGTTCAGTTCACTCTGTAATATGTACCTAACTAACTTAAAAACAGGAACTTAAATAACTCATAATAAGGCTGATATGTGTTTATATTGTTGGTGTCTCTTGTCCTTCTCCCTGCTGTTCACCAGTGAACCCAGTTACTGCCTGTTAAGAGGCACATACTGCCCTTGGCTTTTGCCGTAATGGACTGTTTTCCACCCAACTTGGCCACTTCATATATGATATGGTGGGTAAAAAAAAAGGGCAGCTTGTGATCAGTTGGGCTACTTTTGTACCATTTGGGCAGTTTGCCTTGACACAAACGTACAGATGCAGTCCAGTGAATGAAACTAACTGACAGGCTCAACACACAATAACAGAAAACGGATTACCAAAGGTTTCTTGTTCAAATTGTTTAGTTATAGCTGTGTGATAAAAGTATTGTAAAAAATTAAGTTTTAATTTTCAGTGATGTTTTTTTTTACATCTTAATAAACCTTATCCCCTTGGTGGAGATCATTTTAGTTTTAGTATAACTATGGTGTTGGATTCTTCTAATTAAAACAATAAAACAGAACACTGAAAGGCATCTGATGAAAGTTTTATTTGTATTATTCAATTTCAGCCAAAGAACACAAACTATCAACTGGTATGGTTGTGAAATGTGTACTATTCTCCAGATCCAGTTTGGGCCTATGTCAGACCTGATAAAAACAAGAATAATGCCACATATATGTAAAAAATTTGGTGGGTTTGAAGCTGTGATTGGGCTGCTTGCCAACATCATTGACACAGTTTTTCATGCAGAAGACCCTTTAAATTGAACTTTGACCTCTGCACACCAGAAGGTTAAATCCATATGCACATGAAATAGGCAGGTGTCTTGTACACACCAATAATGTGTTGGTGTTGTGTTGGAAAGGTGGGTCGGTGTCACATGGCACACACCCAGCAATATGAGCTCAAATCATCTTTCTGCATCAACACACCACCATGACTTGTGCAAACTGCCTTCTGTAATATCATCTTGGTGTCTACAGAGTAAAGTGTAATTTTGATTCTGATAATCCCATCAGTTCACCGAAGCCCTGCTGCCAGCTCCTGCTGCCATCAAATCACCCCCTCTGTTGTTTTTATGACTCACCCACGCTAGTGATCCTTTGGATGACCAGGTCCTTCAGGAGAGCATCAATGACTGGGTTGTGTCTGGAGTACAGCTCGTATCGATTAATCCCAATGTGGAAGCGGAGCCAGTTGGGGTAGGAATCAGCCGTCAGTTCCCCTGTGGGGCTGAACTCATCTACGTTGCCTTCAGTGTCCCTGGGTGAGTGAAGGAAGCGGGAGGAAAGAGAAATGATACTTGTTTTTTTTTTATGAAAAGTGGCATGTGTTGTGCAACAGCCTAGGAGTAGACAACTGTGATTACACAGACCGAAACTATAAGCCATTGTATGTGATGTCTAGAGCCTTAGACAAATTCTAAAATATTTAATTATAACTTTTGTGGCATTATAGTTGATTGTGAAATGGTTCAGACTTTACGAGCGCTTTACCATGACTGGTCCTCCGCTGCTTTGGGGTCAAATCTGATGTCTGTGTTGACGTTGAACAGCGTGTCCTCCTCTGTCAGAGATGGCAGAGATCTTTTATATAAGGGGTGGTCATAGAGAGCCGACAACCTTGAACCCTTATCCGGCGCGTTCTTGGTCACTGTGGCGTCCTGGATCAACGGTCTCTTCCTGTCACCACGCTGTTCGTGATGCTCCAGCCTCTTGGAAGCCTGCGTTTTGTCGCTTTCCAGGGAGTGGGAGGAAACATTCGAGCTCGGCTCGTTGCTGAAGTCCTGGAGGATCCGCAGGGTGTGCTTGTTAGGCCAGCTCTGCTTCCCCCAGCTCTGGGGCTTCTCGCTCGGCGTGTGAGAGCAGGAACAGCCGCTGTTGCTGTGCCTCTCCAGCTTTGGTAACAAGTCTATCATTATGTGCATCGAGCATGCAATAAGGAACACCATAAGGATTAAAACCCGGAATTTGCGAAGGAGGATCATCTTCATGGTTTCCCTTTTGATCAGATATGAGTATTTACTGCAAATTATCAGCACGCAGATGAACAAGCTAACTACATCGCTGATGATGTTTATTATACTGGATGCCAATCTAATAAAATATACATTAAAGACGTAGGACCCATCTTCACTTGCCGTCTTGAGTAAAGGATTCAGTGTTCAGCCTTTGTATGTTCAACATCAGAGTCCGGCTTGGTGTCCAGGCGAGATTTCAGAAGCGCAAAATCATCCGCAAGCGTCCAGGTAAAACAGGTCGAGTTAAACCAGACCAGCGATCGATTTGCACAAGCCACATCCTCTTCACACTGTCGCTTTCCCCTCTCCTGGCTACCATCAAATATTTTACAAGGAATATAGCGTAGCGGACAAAAAGCGCTCGTGATACACGGGGGGAAATGATCCTCTAAACGTGCTTGTGGTCCGAGTGCGCGTCTCAGTCTCACCGTCCAACCTCGTTCCTGTTCAGGAAGAGCAGCCGTCAAACACCCCGGACGTTGACCCAGGGGAATGTACGGGTAGTGCAGCTCTTCGCATTTAAAGGTTTTCAGGGAAAGTCCCCGAAAAGTAGCCGACGTGTGTGCTCTCATCCACTTCTGCGATCCATGGTGCGTAATTCTAACACATCGAGTCCCGAGTGAAGGCAAGCCACCAGAAGAAACTGCCCAGGTAACGGTACATATATATCCCCCAGGAAGGCCAGGCCACTTCTAGGAGTATAACGGGATAAGAGAATGCACCTCTTGTAGCATGTGTGAATCTGGGTGGGTGTGTTAAATATGATGATGGATCTAAGACTAGATCCAGCCTTTGCGCAGCGTCACCGTGCGCAGATTGGCTGAGGGGGAGAGAGAGGGGAGGACAGGAACAGTGAGAGAGACACCGTGACCGGGCGAAGTATGGAACTTCTCGTCTGTAGGCCTTTTGGAGTAATTCGTCTCTGCACATCCTAGCTGCGCAACAAGAGGGCGTCTTTTCACTAGCCAGAATTCATAGTTCACACGCAACAGCACGGCGGCATTTTTTTTTTATTCATCTGCTGGAATCCCTCTGAAATGTCTCCTCCGAGACGGAAGGCAGTCCATCGATGATACATTAGACAGGCCTATTAGACCGCTCATCAGTCTGAGGATTCAGTTCCATCCTGCCCTGCTGCCACTCAGCAGCTATCACTTCTTCAATACGGTTTAAAAGCTGTATGAAATGAAAACCACAGAGCACCTTTCAACACTGCGCTCTAAAAAAGAAAAATCACTAATGAAGTAGAGTGAAACTAACTCCAAGCTTTTCTGATGCGCTAACTTGTAACCTTCCATGAAAGCCAGATGCAGCACTCTTCAATATGCAGTCAGTGGACTAATCATTCTTTTTTACGACTAATTGGCGCAGCAGTATGGCTGCATCCATGCTTCCAAGTGACTGTAAATAGGCAGAAGATAGGCAGGAGAGAGGATAATAATAATAAACTGCTTGCATTTCATTGTATGACATATACTGTATGCATGAGTAACTGGTCACCCTGAATGTGATTACCTCCCCAGATTAATTTGTAATTAAAAAGAGCCCAGAGAGAGAGAAAGAATAGATTCATAATAAAGAAAAGGGGAGATGCTTAAGATAGGTTCTATGGAGGGATTAACCCAGTGGAACAAAACATTAGTGGTGAATGCTAATGAAGCTGATATAGAGGCAAAATTAAAACAGCAGCATACGGATTTGTGCTAATCTGTGGTTCTAAATTGTGTGTGTGGTGGTACAGTGAGCAGGAAGTGATGGGTTTATTCCACAAAGAAGCATCAAGTGTCCAGCTTTGTTTATTGTGTCAGACAAAGGGGAATTTTGTTTTATTAAAGGAATTATTATTCGATACCTTAAATTACTGTGTGACTAAGTGAGGGTTTACAAATGATACACTGACCATTGATACTTTATGTTGGAGCCTTTTAATGGTTAATAATTCCCAACAAAGCATAAGGTCCATCAGATAGCTTCGCCTGGTGTTTGATGTCAGTGATAGTGCCAGTGTGGAAGACAAAGTGATGCTTGTTGCCAGTCACATAAGCCCATGGCCTACTAGCCTGAGGTGAAACAAGCTGAGATCAATGTGTATTGATGTCAGTCAGACATGGATCACAGCAGCTGATGGGTCAGTGGTTCCTCACAAGGGCTGTCTTGTGCAATTGTGGCTGAGCCTTTCAGGAGGAATCAAGAGGCCTGCATGATTCACTCACTTTCTCGCTGTTGGGCTGATACGTCAACACACTTTTTTTTTTTAACTCTCATTTTATATGGTGTCAAATGACATTAGTGCTTCAGATGAGGTAATAAAAGCAGACTTTTGTGAAATGAAAATTTGCAACTCCAAAATAATAAGCTCACTCTATTACTGGGCAGAAATGCAATGACAAAGCACAGTGCAAGAAAACAGGGTGCACAGACAAAAGGGTCTGATCTGGGAATTTCCGGTGTCAAATTTCACCCTTTGCCGCCAACATTAATATGTTTTATAGCAAAGCTTTTTTCTTTTTTTTTGGACTGAGCTCCTTCTGGTCACAGTACTGTATGTGCTGTAATAGAGTGATTGAGAAATTCCATCCCCTGACAGTATTAAGAGCACCTAGGCCTTGTGCAGACAAGATCAGGAAGAGGAGGGCAGAGCATCCTAACAGATAGCTGACTACAGCACAGGTCGTAAATACACAAGATTTATGTCCTCTACACTTCACAGTGTCTCTTAGTGAGATAGCATGGTGGAGAAGCCAGATAGTACAACCGTGTTCCTATCTGCGCTATCACAATGAAGGGTGAGGTTTGCTGCTGTACAAAGTCTGCCAAGTAGACTCAGGTGAGAGGTGAGACAAGTCAGAATGAAAAATGACATTTCCACTTTGTTAGCTGATATTCCATGTCATAACACAGCTCTATTTAGTGCAAGAAAATAATGCCTAACAGTTATTCTCTTATATTCCTATATCAATACATCATTTTAGCTAATATTTTACAAAATGTTTAATGGCTTCAGGTCATATCAGAAAATTGCAAGTAACTCAAACAGTTTTGGTTGCATCCCAGTGGCTTGGCTTCATTCATTTGGGAGAATCAGGAAGATGAGATAATGGTTGAAGTATGTTTCACTTGAACTTCAAGCAGGAGCGTATCAAAATAAATCAAAGCACCATAAAAAGTTTAAGGGAATGTTTTCTCTCATGCAGCTCTATTATAGTTAGAATATACATCTCGCCATAATCAATACCACGTGAAATTCCATGTTATGTGGATTATTGTAATTATTAGTGTGCTACTATGTTTTGCATCAGTTGTAACCATGGTAGCGCTGGGCATTGTGTTAAAGGATTTAGGAATGCATCATGTTAAAATGAAATGTGAAAGTCACCCTGAAGCTGCATGGAAATAGAGTGCTGACAGTTGTTTAGTATTGTAAGAAAAAACAACATGAGCCGGTTGGAAGGCATGTGGAGGCATTGCCTACTCTGCTTTATACCCCTCCACTGATTCTGCCATTCATACACCCCTCTGTATCACCACAGTTCCATATGCATTGTCTGAGTAAATTCATTTGTCTGAATTTGCCCTTGGCGTGACCAGGGCTGAGTGGAGAACAAGACTAATTTCCATCCCTGAGAGGCGCCGCACTCGCTGCATCTGATATGGCGCGTTTGAATGGATATTACAGATAACAATGCCCTCTGTTGGCCCCAATAAGCTTCACGCTGCTCTCACTGCTCCTCTGCCTCCTCGACCCCCTTCCTCCTCTTCCTCCTCCTCTTGCAGCCCTTCCTCACCTCCATTTAAAGTCACTTGGTTCAGGAACCAGATGCATAGACACAGACACATTTAAACTGTAATCACTTCTGTAAGAAACATCCCCAGTCACAGGAGACTTGGTGACATTTTGAACTAATCAGACTTGTTTCTGAATCGCTGTCACCAAACCTTCAGTTCTTTTACTTTCAATATTCTTCTTCATACTGTTTGTATTCTTTTGTTATGCCATTTCATCAATTTCCTCATAATGTTTGCATGACTGATGCACCTTTTGTTTACACAATTATCACTTGTGAGTGTCAGCGCAAAGCAGAGTTGACATTCTGCTTGATTGCATATTAGGGATGTGTGAGAGAGATGTGTGTTCTCATTGTGATCATCACTTTGTTCTTACTTACAGAGGGATGGATGTTGTTGATAAAAATAATTGGCATCTCATTTAGACAAAATGTAATATTCACAGAGAATTCATTGTCTCTTAAAAAGATGCCCAAGGGCTTAAAACTTACATCTTGGCAGCTTTTTGTAAATTCTTAGCTCTGCACCAGAATCAGTGTATCTACAAAATATACAATGCAGCAGATTCCTTCATGAATAATTATGACAGAACACTAAAAATAAAGTGTGGTGGTTTGTTCTCATTTGTATAATCACAATCAACGATTTGATGACTAAAGCTACCTGTAGCCCGTAATTTGTGCTTGTACAATGCAAATGGAATTCATGTTCATATAAAATAAGTAAAAGTGGCAGAAATAATATGTAAACATTAAACTGAAAATAAAATGTCAGTGTCAAGTGTTCCCCCGAACTGTCTTAGTTTGCTGGGTGGAAAACATCTAACCATCCATTGGCTACCTTTGAGAGTCATGGGTTACACCCTGGCATGTGGTCATTCAATAAACAAGTGTCAGGGCTGACAGAGATGAACAACCATCGCTAACTAGCACAAGATGCCAAATATTGCTGAAGTTGATGGAAGGTTTAGCAGGTAAAAACTGAAAGTTAGACCAGAGTTTGACGCATCATGAAAAGTCAAGGAATCACCAACGTTATTAGGGAGACATGAATGTGTGTATAGTTGTTGACCTCATTGCACCACCAAAGTAACCATAAAGAGTCTTCTGTGGACCATGAATATCTGCACCAAACGTCAGAGAAATTAGCCCATTCAGTAACTGTTGAGACACTTTACCAAAAAACCCACAAAAGACAACTTTACTGTGGTGCTAGAAGAAAAATCAGGGGACCATCAAAGTCAGCAGGATTCATCATCCAGGAATCATGAATGTCTCTACCAGATTTTGTGTCAGTCCATCTAATAGTTGTTGAGCTGTTGCGGACGGGACAAACTGGTGGACCATAGGCCAATCAATACTGCTACAGTATTCCTAGACGTACAAAAAACACACACACACACACACACATTAAAAGGGAGGGAAATGTTTCACAGAGTTGATTTCCAGTTCTACAGCATACCCTACCTGGATCTAGGCAGGTACAAATTACTTCCTTATTTTAGTCTGATCAGCCACAATCAAGGTGTTACACAGATCTAACTCCAAGGTAATGAAGCAAATGTGGTCATGTGCTCTTTAATTGACTACATTGTACCAAGAATCTCGAAAGTAGCGAAGGAAGGAAAGGATGCAGGTCCCCACTTACATCAGGACTCTCCAGCGGTGATACAGGCTCCACAGGGTAATCTCTTAAAGCATCTTAAAAGGCCAGACTGTCTGTGTCTATAATAAGATGTTATTGAAAAGAGTTTGACTGACCACGTCTACCTCACTTTACTATCACGCTGTGGGAAGGGCTCCCTTTACTGCTCCATCTTGGGGTTATATTTAAGTCTGTTTGGGAGCTACACGGTCAGCACTGTACTTACCCAGGTGTATGTCTTGTTTGGCCTGTGTGTGTGTGTGTGTGTGTGTGTGTGTGTCTGTGTGTGTGTAAGTCAGCGTGCTAGTTAAAACTCTGAGAAGTGTGTACAGCGTCCTGCGGAGAGAGGGAGAAAGCTAGGCACTGTGTTAATGAGTGTTTG